TTTGCATCCTTAATTTCTCCTTCAAAAATGATTTTGTTTGAGAAGAAATATCAAACATTCGACACAGTGTTTCATCACCAGATGAAACACCTCGAAGTTCGTCAAAAATACTCCGCTGCGCGTCGTATTTTCAACTCTCTTCTCGGCGTTTCATCTGGTGATGAAACACTGCATCTCATGTTTGATATATTACATGAAAACTTATCAGGTTATACCAAGTGGTGACTTTCCCCGAATACTTCTTCTTTTTTGTTTTTTATTCTGTATCTAAAGTGCTTTTAAAGTTCTTACAAAATTCAATTTAAGAGGCCCTATAATATAAATCATCTCGCCAATTTGTTTTTCATTTTTTCTCGGAACCTTAATCCTTAAAAGCCGCTTGAGGTTTACGAAATTGAAGTATAGATTTTTGACAACTCTTTCCTTCCCTTAGTATTCAGTGAAAGTGAAATCGCATGGAAGTTCACTAAAAATTAAGGGAAAATCTTAGATGAATGGAAAAGTCATCTCGAAATTTCTAGCCTCTTCTCGTCCTGTGGAAATTTAGTCTAGGCAATATTTTCTTCTTCAAACACTAAGATATTTTGGAGAAAAAAATCATTGCGTTCCCTTGACATCAGCCGTGAGTTCTTGTAAAGCGTCCCCAGGTGTCTTTAGATGTTCAGTATATTTTGTTTTCTAGAGCGCCTGATGTAAATGCCCTTTATATGAGGCGCTGAATAAAAATCTACGATTGCGTATTTCTTAATCAGTACAGACAATGTTTTACGGGTGGAGCGCTCGTCTTTAATCGGGCAGAAAAAATTTGTGGAAGAAAATGTAAAGGAATTAATTGCGTAGAAAACCTTTTTTTTACTATCAGTTTCATATGTTGATCTCTACTTTATTGTTTTTACTGCTTTACAGAGTTGGAATTAAAAAGCCTCCATTACAACCCAACTAGCCAAATGTCCGGCGTGTTGTGAAGCAGAGACGACTAAAGAGTGAATAAAGACGAAAACGGGAAGCGGAAAATGTTTCTGTATCCGTGTTTTCTTAGGTATTAAGCTTAGATTAATTCTCATGTCCACAAATTTAACACGAAATTTTGTAGCGGCGGGATGCTAGCGGCCATCAGCGTGAAAATGAGCGACGGTGAAAAAAAAAAAAGTGAGCAAGAACACGTCCGTAAAACGTGTTACATTTTCTCCATAAAACTAGACGTTTCTGGAAGTATCACATTAAAGCTCGTGTAAAACAACGGCAAAGAAATGTACAAAAAAAGTGTGCTGCACGTGCAAAGTTTCTTTTTTGCTAATTAGACCTATTGTTTTTTTTTCACCGTTCTCGTGGCCTTCGCCGCTTGGCATTACATAGACCGTGTAGCAGGCGTCGAGAGGGGATAGGGGAAGGGAAAAAGGGAGAGGGATTGGGGAGAGAGGGTAGCACCGTAATTTTTAGGGAGTTATTATAACTCCAAAAATGGAGTAAAAATTTTAGGTACAGGATAACCCCTTTTTTGGGGTTATTTTAACTCCTAATTTAACTCCGAATTTGGGGTCATTTTTACTCCTGAAAAAGAGTTCTTTTTACTCCCAGTCTGGAGTTAAAATTACTCCGAAATGGGGTTATTTGTACTCCTTACATGGGTTGTTTTTACTCTTTTTGGAGTTAATTTAACTCTGAAAGTGGAGTAAAAATTTTAGGTACAGGATAACTCCTTTTTTTGGGGTTATTTTAACTCCTCAATATCTGGGGTCACTTTTACTCCTGAAAAAGAGTTCTTTAAACTCCTTTTTGGAGTTAAAGTAACTCCACGAAAAATAACTCCACTGTAAGGAGTTAAATTAGCCCCACTAGGGGAGTTATTATAACTCCCTGAAAATTACCGTGAGGGGACGCCTGCTATAAGAACCTTCTTCTGTTCATTTCTGCGGGCGCTGAAATTCCTGATTGGCTGAGCCGTAATGAGCAACTTATTGGCTTGTCTTAATAAGAGACAAACATAATGCAGGCATCAACCAAATAAGTTTTTCTGGCATACGCTTTGGAAGCTCGAAACTTCTCCAATCACGTAGCAACTTCACGTTAAACCCGAACTAGAACCAACTGTAATAGCTTGTTTATCAGGCAGAGATGCTCAGGAGGTTTTGTATACTGGATTTGTCCAAACACCGAGCGGCGATACAAGGCGATTACGATTCTTGACAGACATCTGCAATGCCGATATTCACAAGACCGCCTTTTCCGCAAAAACATATACCGTCGTGAGAATTAACTTCCAAATGGTTTATAAAGAAGCTTTGTTAAAACCTATTCGTTGAGCTTTTTGACAATTTTCGACGGATAACACATTCCTCGATGCTGCGGGAGCGAGAACAGTAAAGATTCTTTTTTCGCTCGATTACGATATCATTTGAAAAAAGCGTCTTGACTTGACAATTTCTGGTGAACAAAGTAATTAAGTTCGGGCCATGCTGAGATGCCTCCCTTCCTGTGATCGGGTCATGTATTAACAGTTGACATTATCGGAGAAGTTAAGAAAATGGTGGGCGGAATACAAATTTAAAACACCAGCTCTTATAGCACGCGCTCCCTTCCCTTTTCCCCGCTTTCGCGCTTTTCTCCCTCCCCCATCCCCCTCGTCTTTTTGCGTCTGCCACGCAGGCTAGGCATCACAGGATTTTATATTTTGTTTGAGCAGCTATAAAAATTATAGAGAGCTTAGCTTTTAGCCCGGGCTAAATCTATATATTATTCTAATATGGAAGTTGCTTGTTTCGGGTTTTAAGCTCATGAAGTGGCTTTATAATTTGAATGCTTCATAGACTGTTATTCGTGTTTGTTCACAGCTTTGTTATGGACTGGATTCTGCGAGGTGCTGATATCTCAATCTTTTAAATGCAATTTCACCCTTTGTAGATTTACATAATTTTAGTTGACACATTTGTGTTCGAATTGTGTTTACATCGGCATTTCTTTTCGTGTCTTGCATTTACGTTTTAAACGCACACGGGATCGGGGAAAAGTTTATACAGCTACGATTTGTTTTTCACGATTCTCTCTACCTCAATGTAACACCACTGGAAACTCTTCTTGTCGACGACAAGTTCGACTGTAGCTTTGCTTGTGTTCATAACAAACTCTGTATTTCCTTCAACTTGGCAGAGACGTCTGCAGAAAAACTGTGTTGCGAGCTTCTTCCATCTAGCATCTATAACGACACAGGGAAAATCGTTTTAAATTTTAAATTTGACCATCACAGCATACAGGTTTGTAGCAAACCTACAATAATTGATGTAGCCTAATATATAATTGCCTATTTTTTACAACTTACTGTGAACCACAGACGAGAATGAAAGTTAAATCTCTAGAAGTGAAGATATAAAAGAGCAAAACAATTAAAAAGCGGGTTATTTTTTTGTACTTCATTCTTCGGCGTGATTCAGCCACTTAACATATATGTTTTTAGGTTTATGTCTGGTTGTTCGATTTCTATATTTTTTTTGTTTCTTTCAAATGTTAACTGGCATATTTTTGTAATCCCGAAGAGTTTTCTAAATACTGTTAGTAACTGACTGTTTTACTTATTACTTCCACCAAAATGCATTTTACTGGTAAAACAAACTATACCAAGAAAATGACGCTTGAGAACTTCGAAAAAAGCTACTAACAGTCAGAACAGTCAATGTTGTTGGTTGTATTAACAGGCTCTCGGAGTAAAGTGGTAGCATTGACAATGAGGAAGTGCAGGACGTGTGTTTCCATTCTAATCATAATCATTGTGTTTTAATGTAATGATTTTTTTTCCTGCAGAATCCTTGTACTAATGTTCCTTGTATGAACAATGGGATGTGCTCCCTGATCTCGTTCAGAGAGGGAACGTATAGTTGCACTTGTCTTCCTGGATATTTTGGCGATGAGTGTGAAATCTGTAAGTTAACGTAGAATTACTTTTAGTTAACAAAACACCCTTTCGTGATATGAACAAGCTATTAAAATTTACAATAACAACTAACAACCAGCTCAAATTGTTAGATACCCAAGCTTCTAGTTAGACCTGTTCACCTCGGCTTTGTGTTATATGTGAATGCAAAAAAGCCGAACTCTTTTGCGTTTTTGTTAATTCAGATGCACCAGAGTGCCGGGACTATAACGTCCTCAGTCAGCCCAATCGACACCAGTCTTTTGGCCGAGGCACTAACTCAGACAGTAATCTTGTCCCCGACTGGTATCGCTTCCAATCAAGTTCATACTCAAGAATGGTAGACAATTGTATTCAGGTCCACAGATGCACTACAGATATAACTGGGTGGTTAAAAGGTGGCCACCCTACATTTAAAGATGGCATCGTGGACAGGGAAGCTTGCTTCCACGGATAGCAAAACTGTTGTTATAGGATAGTTCAAATACGCGTGAGGGAGTGTCAAGGGTTTTATGTGTATGAGTTAAACCCGTCACCTGAAGGCAGGTATCGCTACTGTGCAAGAGGATGAACGGTATCAGGTCCTTTAATATGACTTGAGGAACTCTGGATCGTAGAAAAGGGATATAATGTCGAGGACGTTGTGAATGCGAAAACTACGCATGTCGCTAATAATGATACAGCAATAAGGAAATTATTTATCTTTACCTAGCTGAGGCCCTCAATCCAGTTTCAACCTTATCTCCCTCTCTTTTTTTTGGCAAAAGAATCTAGATTGGAGGGACTTCTTCTAGATATGTACTAGATATTTTTACAACCAGCTATACACTAAGGTCATCTTCTGAGACCCAGGGGCTGTTAGTCGGGTCGGGAGAAGCGGCGCGAAGATAGTTTTCAAGCCGTGCTTGGTTACCATCCTTATACCGTTGTATTGCTTCCTGTCTGCTGTTGGCATGATATTTATCATTTATTTTTTATCTTTCCGGCTGGTACCGCTTCCAGTCAAGTTCATACTCAAGAAGGGTAGACAATTGTATCCCGGTTCGCAAATGCAGCTCTAATCTGACTGGGTGGCTGAATGGCGAACATCCCACCTTTGTAGATAGTATCGTGGGGAAGGAAGTTTGTTTCCACGGATTATTAAACTGTTGTTACTGGACAGTTCAGATACGCGTTAGAGAGTGTCAGGGTTACTATGTGTAAAGTTAAACCTGTCACCGACAGAACGCGTGAACGTTACGTTATCGGGCGCTTTAAGCATACGTCAAGATTCGATTAACAGACAGCACGCGTTAATAAAAAAACTGTTTCATGAACTGATGTCATTGGAAATAAAACCAGAAAAGGGCAATGAGTTCTTTTCTTGCCCAAGAGCTCAATTCAGTACGCCCGCATATGTTTGAAATACTATCCCGTGGGCAACTCCACTCAGTCTGTCCCGATATCAGACAGTTGTAATCATGTAACAAAGTAAGGTGCGCTACTTGGGGAACCCTAAGTCGTATGTATAAACAATACAAAAGAGACTGATTTATGTCTAAGACACTGCTAACAAACAACATGCGCTAGTAAAAGACCGTGTCAAGCAGCTGTCATTGTAAATACCATAAAAATAGACAACCAGTTACTTAACCCGCATATGCGTTGTGTGGCACTGAGAGAGGGGCGGCTAAGTCTGTCGCCCTTAACCTTAACTATACAAGATAAAAATAGTGGCGTTCAACTAGAATCTTAATCAAAATAGTTGTATAACTGGCTCAGTAGTAACACATCTACAATCTTGAAAAAAATGTTGAGAAAAATGGACGATACTGCGTCTAGTTTCAAGATAAAGCTTGAAAGAACTCACTGTGGCAACTACAGATACTCCATCCCCCCTCCCCCCAAAAACAACAATGTTGAAGCCCGGCTGGATCATTTCTGATCCCGAATTAACAAATTTGACCAGGGTGGGGCGAGGGGAGGGGCCATAGCGGTACCAAATCCGCGGGATAGGCGTCCTGTGGGTAAGAAAGTGAAAATCTCAATACTTTTTGTCCAAGATTGTAATATATTGCCGCTTAATAATTAGGTAATCCCAGTTTGCAAGGAAATGTTTCCTCTATTCAATAAAGTATGTTTGCCAGCGAACATAATCTCCCATGGTCAAGTTCACGCAATATGCAAGAGAAATCACTCTAATGAAAATGATATTGTTACGAGGCGCGAGGAAGAAAGTTAATTAGAGACAGACCAATAGGAAAGTCGCATGAATTTCTTTCGTTAGCATTTTCTTTGTATTAATTATCTTGGGCCAAAGCATGAATATTTTTTGGCGTTACTTGGAGTGCACTAATTTTATTCATTTAGTTTTCCCTCCCACCTCCCCCATTAAGGTTTTCATGGTCCGCGCGTGGCCCCTTGCCGTCCCTGTTAAGACTTGTTTTGTTTTGTGTTTTGTTTTTTTTACGTCAACCTTAATGACATGCTTCTTCGGGCGAAATTTTTAAGGATCAAATTTACTGGCACGTTTCTTACTCACCTCCACCTTCCGTGCATGGGACGATTGGCAAGCTGCAGAAATGAAATCCTCGAACTCCCCGGCAGAATCTCGTCGTCTCCTTGATTTTGTTCCGGCAATAAGGCCATCGTTTCTTTCTGTTGTATTACTTTTCGTTTGCGGATGCCTCTGGGTGAAGAATGAAACAACAAACGAACGACTGATAGCGCTGGAATCTCGCGTTAACCTTTTCCCTTGCGTTCAGAGTGACTCGACTGAAAATACTGACAAGATATCTCTTTCACCGACAGAAGCTACAGCAAGAGATTTTTCTAAGAAGGTTCAGACACATGTATCCGAAAGGATCGGTTATACATCAGGTAAGATCTTCACTTCACATGTTATTTAGATGCAGATACATGTTTAGAACTGAGTTCATCCTCTTTTGGTTTAGGCATATAATCTTTCATGGTGTGAGTTTGCGCTTGCATACGGGATCATCCAAGCAGTATTACAACAGAGCAAGAGTGTTGCAAAAGGGTTTATACAGTGTTATGTGAGGTTAAAAATTCACTAAGCCACCTATACTGGTAAAACAATAAAAAAATTTACGGTGTAAATGATCGATGTTGAATAGTGTCGAACTACTTGCTCACGTACAAGATATGTGGTCAATACCCAGGGGGGGGGGGGGGGGTAAAAGGTTTGTAGGTTTTTTTTTTAAAAAAAAAATGCAAAAACATCCATAAAGTCGAAAAAAAAAAAAAAATTTTTGAGGGTAAATAGGTTTGGTTATATAGAGATCATCCTCTACCCCCAAAAAAAAATATGGGAACAAAACCGGGGGGGGGGGGGGGGGTGTACTCCTTTATATAAGCCATATAACAGGAGCACACAAAGGGTGTATAGTTCTTGGCCCTTTTTGATCTGAAAACGCGGGTATAAACGTGGGCCAGTTTTGTCTGGAATAGGGTTTGGTTTTCGAGGAACCTACTGGAGCGTATGCATGAAACTAGTTGTCGTTTCAGTTCCACATGAATAAGAGTGAAATAGCAATATGTGAATTCAAAATGCATTTGAGGAATTTTTTTGTTTGCGCTCTAATCTAAGTCATGATGACACAATTCTGTCTAAAGGTCAGATCTGAAAACGGGTATGGACTGAGGTCTGCATGGTCTGAAAACAGGTGTGGAAAATTGGTCTGAAATAGCACTGTCTGAATAAAATTGTTAGGGTGGCGTAAAATTTGAGATATTTTTGGAAAGGTTAGCCCCTAGAGGAGTTCGGTTAAGGGGTCTTAGGGCTTGCCGGGTTAGTTGATAAAACCTTTGGTAACTTCGATAGGGTGGCAAGATTGAAAGTACATTTATTGAACGGTCTCAGTTGGTTTGAAACCCGGGGAGGGCACTTCCTCATAAGAGGCTAATGGGATGTGCCGCTGGATGGGGTCGCATTTACACGACTAGATTGATTATAATGGGTCGCATTTTCAATAGAATTTCTAGAATGGGGTCGCACATTTTTGGACTTTTTGTGGTAAGACATTTCTTCTTATTTGCGGTTAGCATACCAGAATGTTTGTACTGTAGGTGAAAAGTAAAGTGTTCTTCATACAGTTTAAAAAACGGGTCAATTCATAAAAATAAAAAGTGACTAAGTTGGGATCGCGAAACTTACATATTTGCCCAAAAGTGACTAAGATAGGGTCTATAATTGGTCACAGACTAGACTATAATGGAGTAGGGGCTCTTAGACGCCAGCGGCACATACCCAGCAAAAATTTTACCCAAGTACCCTCCCCCCGGGGTTTTGTGTGCGTAGAATTAGAAATCTAGAATGTCAGCTTGGCTTTCCCTTAGAGGCGACAAGGGAAGAAGCGTGGGGGCAAATTAAAAAGTTGTTAACCTTGTTGTTGAACGTCCAAAACATTGTTAATTTTATGTTAGAAATGTCAGCCTTATCATTCATTCCGTTGATTTGTTCGATATATTTTCCCCCTTATTTATTTTTAATATTAATCTCTGGATATTAAAAAATTTATTAATCTTATTTTACTGCAGTCAGCCCGTTATCAATAGAGGCATCAGCAACCATTCGCTTAAGGAAGCGAAGAAAGGTTTTGAACAACACTTCAACCGGCATCACCATACATGAAGTAAGAAAAGAAATCAGCAAACAGTTTGAACAACTTATGCCCACCAAGTACTGTAAGTCAAGTGAGAAAGTCTGTCCTGCAGGTTCTCCCGGATATCCTGGTCCCACTGGAGCGAGGGGACCACGTGGCAGGAGGGGACCAAAGGGAAGGAGAGGTCCTCAAAGTCCCATGGGACCTCCTGGAAAATCCGGAAAAACAGGACTAACTGGTCCCGCAGGACCGAGAGGAGAAAGGGGAGATAAAGGAGAGACTGGGCCAAAAGGCATGTCGGGACCACCTGGAAGGCCTGGAAAATCGATATCTGCTCCAAAGGTGATGTTGACGCCAGCAGAGCAGACACGAGATGAGGGAGGAAATACGGCATTTTATTGCACGGTCGCCGGAAATCCTTCTCCAGTCGTGGAATGGCAATTTAAGGGCAGAAAGATTCTGTCGGGTGCAAAGTATTTGATTAAAGAAGGAGAGTTGATTGTCATAAATTTGAATTACAGCGATGCTGGGTCGTACTCATGTGCTGCTAGGAACATTCTTGGATCGTCCG